TTTCACTTTATTGGATCATTCGTCTTCAACTTCAGATTCTTCCCGTACCTGACTTTAATTCAATTCTTCCATGGGCTCTTTACCCTTCCGATTCCGCAGATTTCTCCGATTCTTCAGATTTTTTCGCATTTACATCATTTTTAATGTTCCGGTTTGTTCTGGTTTGTCTAACTGACTGAATGCGCTCTTAGTGTGTTGGGAATTGGATGGTTCATTGGCATTGGCATGACTTTCACTTTTGCTTTTATCGTGGTAATGACAGGTTTAACTTGGCGAAGAATATCAATTTCAATTAGATAATTCCAGAGTCATCATGCTAAAATTGTTTTAACACTAATTATCTAAGCGTCTTTACACGAATGGGGTAGGGCTGTAATCTTCTTCAGGTAATGTTATTTTCATAGAATTCCTCTTTGTTAACACGTTTCGTTTTAGGTTATGCCATAAGTGCTAATTTAATTACGTATCTCTATTTTATCTATTTGGTAATCTGAAGAAACCCTACTTGGAATTAGGTCTGATTTTCGTTTTTCGATATAATGTTTATCGCAAATACCAGAAATCGCAAACTTGCAGGTAACCTGTTGCTAATTGCCTGAAAAGAAATTATAGACTCGCCGGCCTATAAGCTTACCCCACGGATTACCTAACGGCTGCTGTTGGTTGGTATACGGGATTTCTAGACTGCGGCTTCGCTAGCTATGAGAGGCAAGACAGGCTTAAAACCCATAAGGGTGGTTGGGCTGGGTTCGCCCTCGTATTATTTATCTGTAAAGGTACCTTACTGTAAAGCCCCCACTTATGGGCGGCATATTGCAACAGTAGTTACAAATTGTAGGAAATAAGCTTCCGGTTCCTGGTGAAATTCTTTTATCAATTTTGTTTTTGTAACCAAAATTTGGAAATATTATTATCTAAAAATTTGATACTCCAATATGTTTATGTAACTTACGTATAGGACTCTCTTTTAAATCTATAAAATCTTTCTCTGTAGGACTTACAACTACGACGCTTATTCCACAAAAAAGCTCATTAAAACTAAATTACATTGATTACGCTTAAACAATGAGATAATAGTCATTTACTATACAAGACGATAAAGGGATGTTTTAACCATTGAGTGAAAGATATTAACTTTCACGAGATGGTTAGTTTCCTTTTATCGTCGTGTATAGTACAAAACTTGATTTTATAGAAGCCATATAAATCATTATAAAGCTTCTGACAATTCAGAATTTAATTTAGAGACGTCAAAAATAGTAAGCTAAGGTTCTGCCGTCGCGATCGATGCAGAATTGTCATCTGTTCTGGACGTCATTTTATATCGTGCATTTGAAATAAGAATGACAGATGTCAATAGAATGCACACTCATCTGTTTCACTTTATCTACCATTACGGTTAAAGTGGTCACTTTATCTATCCTTAAAGAACGGCTTAGCCTACTCATTGAAACAAATTAAAATGTCATTTTAACATATGCTATAAAATAAACGAACAAATCCTAACATCTCTAAACCAAACAAAAAACCTACTCCTAACTCAAAGAAAATATTCCTGCGAATCAATAATTAAACCTATCTAGAAATTAATCTTTGTATGATCTCAGCCAATGGGCGCAATCTTGCTTCTATTTATGAGTTATGAGCAATAAGGTGGTACTTTTTCATAAATAAATAAATACCTACACTTTAAGTTAATAACGTAAATTAATTAATTTTGTCAATCCTCCTCATTGCTAAGCTGTTATAAAGTTGTAAAATTAATTAAATAAAGCTTATCTTCGTTATCCAGCTAGCTGTATTGACTTCAAAACTGTTATATTTATTACTTGATTTTTCTAATAGAGAAGATTATGAAAAGTTTATGGAAAATTGCATGAATATATTATTTCTCCGTTTTACTATAAGAGTGTGAATGCAATCAATCAATCATAGACCGTACATTTTTGCAATATTACCCGCCCGCAACCCTTCTCTAAGCAAACGTACAGATATAGCTTTGACAAATGGCTAGCCACAGAAGTTTCCTTTTTTTCTTAAGAATCTTCAAAGGATATTTACAGATCTAAATTAACACAACTTCGAAAAATTGTATATAAGGAAACTTCTCGTATCTCTTCACCATCTTGTTTAACTATTCAATGATATTTAAATAGCACTATAAATTTGGTGCAAGGGCGTGAAATTGACAGCATTAAGTAATGTAGGTGGTAGATGCGTTAATATATTATGTCCGTCTTCAGAAACCAGCACCCCTTGGGGAACGCAGAATTAAACTCTAACATTCGCACTGGGGAAGTAAAACGCGCACACAGAAACATTTCTAATAAATACACTTTGGGGTAGTTAAAAATAAATAGGCTGCCGATTCATTCCTTCTCGTAAAAATTTACGATCTTTATAAATGTCGATCGCACTTAAATAATGTAATCGAGAAAGGCCATTGGAAGACTAATTAGCACTTTGTTTTCTCGTTTCTTCGATTATTTTCGGCATTATTCCGAATTTAGGTCTACTGGAATCGCTCCTTCCTTGTGCAAATGAACTGGATTGAACTACAAACCGCTTGTTAAGCTACCTTTTCCGAAAATAAGATAATGGTAATTGGTATGCTAAACAAATTAATTTGCACAAATTACTTCCAAATGTTATGTTGATATCCGACTGAGTGCCTTAATGTTAGCGTTATTTACTTTGTCTTTTGGCAATTATGTATCTTTGATTGTTTACCCAGTTTGTGTTTATTCAAACGGAACCTCGTCGGGAGATTTATACCCCCATCAGTGAGTTCATGCAAAAGCATCACCCTTGACCTTTAAACAGACGGGTGTACGAATTTCCGTAAAAGATATCCATCTGAATAAAATGAGGAAAAAATTTAACGCAAGAAAGAATTCTTACGCATGATACGTCATTTAGATGGTTTTTAAAATACCGTTTCTCTTCTTTAGATTTTTTAATTTATCAACTGCACTTTGTTCCCAACTTTTATAATATTTAAAAGTTTTGTGTGTGTCCGGTTTGATATTGCTGTGGAACTTTCTTTCTAGCGTAATTTCAAGTACAGTTCACTTTTCCAATTTAACAATAAACACTGAGTTGCCACAATGCCTTTTCTGTCTACAGCGGGGTGTGTTAAACGGTCTTGGCTGTAGTCCACTTTGTTTGCTAGAATTTTGTGATTAATTTGGTTTTTGTTTTTAGAGTAAATTTTTTCTGTGGTGATTCATGTAAATCGTGTGCTTATTCGAACTCTTTTAACGATCCATATAAATGTCTCACTCTTAAATCCGTGCCCAAAGTTTATTTCAGGTGTCTTCAAAATTTGTTTAAGTCATATTTTTGGAATTTAAGGAATTTGATCGTGGCCATTATTTGCCGTAGAATTTGGAATTTGCTCACCCAACGTTGGGGGCATTTATTGTTTATGTGGCCTGAATGTTAGGAACACAACAATACATGTTATTTATTGCTAAATTACGTAATTATGACTTACAAGATCTAAATTATAAAAATTGGAAGTTGATTTTTGAAAAAAAAGGTCATTATACCGTAAGCTTGCTTTTGAAAGGGATCGGATGCAGTGGTGGTGCTAGCGTTAACATATTACCCTCCGTAAATCAAGGACGTTTTTGCAAAATGCACTTGCCGAACTCAAAATGGAGCAACTGGTGGTAGTTAAGCAGAAGACAAAATGTCAAAATGTTACACGAAAAGACAAAATGGCGGTGAAAAATTGCTCCACACTATTGGGGGGGTAGCGTTAGCTCTGAAATGGGTGGCGCTAACCGCGCTAGCTTTTGGAAGTGATCGGCTGCAATGGTGGTGCTAGTTTTAACATAGCACCCCCAAAAGTCAAGGGCTTTTTGCAAACTTTACGAGCGATAGAGATTCAAAATAGCGTTTTTTACCAGATAACCAGCACGTTAAGTTTGACGTTTCTGATACATCACAGGGCTGAATTTCAACAGTAGAAATAGGATCAGGATCAGGAACCGTGTGACTGACATAAGTGGTTTGACATTCGAACGTTTGTTACCATTATTTATTTATAAAAATATTGAAAATAATGGGTTTACCTCATTTATCTTATAAAAAGGACTACCTTGTGAAGGAGGACATTTTCCAAACATTTCGTTTTGGGGAGGTAGCTGTATCCTTTTAGTTATTTTTATACAATTCCTTTTTGTTAACGCGTTTCTTTTTTATGGTTTATGCCATATATTTTAATTTAAATTACCTACCTTTGTTTTACCTATATCGCAATCCGAAGCCAATTTATTAATGGGGTACGTAAGTTTGAATTAATTGGAATTAGGTGTGATTTTGGTATTGTAGTTTTCGATTGATCGTATTAAAGAAGTACCGTGTTCTGGATAAAATTCAAACACTCGCTTTCGAATTGAAGAGTGCTACCTGACGATTAGCTGGAACTGATCTAATCCATTGTAACAAAGTTCGAAATATCAATCATCATGACAAATTTCTCTGTAATTGATATTTTGAATATAATTCTTTCTATGAAATGAGATAGCCAACTTCGAGAATGTTCTGTAATTTTTCTAGAAAGGTTCCGTTTGCTGTATAAGCAAGTTGAATCGCGTTTACTGGTTCCAACATCGACACTGAAGTGACAAATAGTTTGCGCTCGTGTTTACATGTTATAAATTTCAGTACAAGTGAGTGATAAATAATAATTAACTGATATAAGTCAATTGATTTAAGGACTGTTATAAATTGATTAAGAATTTACTGTAAACAAATAAATGACGTATTTAAATTTACGTTACAGTATGTCTAAAAGTGTCAATAACTTTTAACTACCAAAAGGACCACGATGTTTGCGACGGTTACAAGGCATAAACGTCTCGTATTAAACTAACTGGGTCCACTATTTGCTAAACATTACCATTTTTTTTATGAGAGATATTTTTTAGATTAAATTATACGGGAAAATTGAGCGCTTTTTTACATATCAAAAGCGATCGATGCATATGCTATTACCTCGCATTTTCCCAATGTAATTCAATTTCGCTTCTCAAATTTGATTCTCCAAACCAGAACCATTTCTTTGCTAAAAAAACTTGTGCATGCATTTCAGACTTACCCGCAAAATCTCCCGCGTGCACATGAAACTTGTCAGCCGCCGGTCTTGTAAGTTGCGCACAGGACAATTGTAATCCGTGATTAACAACATTTAAGAGCACTGCACACACGATTATAACCCACCCCCAACCACCTTCAGGATAATAATGTCGTCGTAACGTCGTCGCTTTACGGGCATCCAGCGGTATATCCGGTAATAAGCACTCGTGTTGTTTGTTGCACATGTTATTTTTCGATTTGGCGTTCGCCGCGTCGTTTTCATTGAAGTTTCTTGTAAATTTGCTTTCGGCGGCTTCGGTGTAGATGAGGTCCCAATTGTCGACCTTATTGCTTGGCCGTCGTCCCACGCTGTTGCAATTTCGGGTGTACCTGATCTCATCTTCGACACGAGTTAGGGCCAGTACGTGAAACCTCTCGTAGCGATCGGAAATTGTGTCGCTAATGTTGTTTGTTTGATTGAAAACTGAAAAAAGGATAATTGCACGTATTATTTATTTTGAAAGTTTGAACAGAGCATTGTAAAGTATGGATTGGACCCACGATGTATCTATGGTATTTTATTTACTGTTAAATAATACCTCGACGAAAGACTTGTACTATGTAAGAATGGAAGTACTCACCTGTACTGCTCTGAAGCTCGGAGTCGAACTCATCCTGTTCCAAGATGGTCGAAACAGTATCAGTTCGAACAGTTTTGTGTGGATGAGACGACATTTTCGTAAACAACTCTAGATGCTTCCTGGATAACGGCAGAACAGGCCCACTTTCCAGATCTCCATTTTCCTGAGAAGGTCGAGGGTGAAGAACATCCTCATAGTGGGAAGACGGAATATTGTTAACGTAAAAATCTTGCACCTCCTCCTCCAAATTCACACGTAATTGTACAACCGCCATAGTACCCACGGGCCATGTTTTTATATGATTTAATGTCATTATCGTCACAAGTCATATTACGACTCATTGTTTCTAACAGCACATCTTCAGCAGTTATTGATTTTGTAAAAAGTATGTCACTTCTCTACTTTAGCACACTTTCAATTGTCTTCACGTTGAAATGTATTTAGGACGTGAAGGTGTAATGCAGTAATCAGTGCGCTTTTCGCATTCAAATGTATCTGCATCGCCATTTGAATATTAATACGTACAAACACCGGCAACGCATTTCAGGAAGCTGTTGATTATAGTTTTCATTCGGGCCCGTTGCATATGTAAATTACGACCTAAATCTAAAAATATTCATATAATTCCTGTAATTTCAATATGCATCCGATAATAAAAAGGTAGCTTTCCATTTAATTTAACAACAGAATGACCAGCTATTGAAATTTAAATTTGTCGCAGTTGTGGATGTACTAATCTTTTTGAAATTGTTTGTTCGAAAATTTGTTTGCACATCTCATTTAATGATTGAATACTTATAAACCATATTTATATAAATATGTAAAAAAACATGATTGAAGTATTGATTAAAAATAATCCCTACCAAAACGACATTACAGGGGTACAGGTTTATTTTATTATATTGTTCTTATAATTATTGTTTTCGAAAACCGAAAACAAAAATGCTAACATAAAATTTCTCCACCGTTAGATAAGTTCGTCTACATGGTAATAAGTAGTAGGATTAGGCATAATTGCCGTGTGGAGAATTATTCTGTAATAGTATCAAACTTTTACGGTAACAAAATTTTTCTTGTTTGCGATCTATAAATTTATCATCCAAAAAACTTCATCTAGAAAGCCACAACTCCCTCACAAACTCATAGAAGAAAAGGTGTCCGACGGAAAGATCCTTATACAGTCCGTGTCATCCTATTACTTTACGTGTAGTTTTGTACCACCCTGAACCTATTCTCTTCCAACATTTTTTCACAAAAGGTACCGTTATTGTATTTATGTAAATGTAAAAGTTGTTATCTTTAAGAAAAAAATACATAATTTTGGTTGAGGTTTAAAAAGTCTTCATTAAAGGTCGAATTTTAACGTTCTTAAGTTGGGCAAATTGAAGCCATTTGTATTGCACTTATTTGAGTAAACATTGGAATTGACTGAAAAAATCAGTTTTTCATTTAAAGTAATTTAAATGAAAAAAATTTCAAAGTGAATAAGCCCAAGGTGAATAGTATAAGATATATTTTTGTATGAACAATTTGCCGTTGCTTGTTATTGTCTTTGAATTAAGGGTAAAAACCGTAGCCATCAAACTTGATCGTAATTCAGTGTTTAATTTTGCTAGCAAGCAATTTAAAAAATCCGAATATATTTTGATCTCTGGGGATTGAATTTTTAATTTGGGAAGTAATTAGTTTGGCCGGGATTCGCCTGTGTTCCCAGTGGAGGTTCTTCCCTTTTAACGTAAGTACCGCGTGTACTTTCTTTAGGTTTCGGCTGTAATTTGTTGTACTTAGTGAAATTTCCATCGACAATATTTCTGCTTCATCTATAATATTGATTAGCCATCTTCTACAAGAGGTAGCTAAATTGTATGTCATCAACGAAGGGAGCTTACCTTTGATTTCTTTTAGGGTTCAAGTTCCAGATACGTTTGTTCGACGTACATATTTTGTAAGCTTGCGTTAAATTCACCGTTACCAGGTGCCGACGCCCTTAGCTTAGCTCCTCATCTGCTGATAACAAGCGGCCATGAAGCAGATTGAACATTGAGGGACAACTATGGCAACTGATAACTGTGATTACTATTTTGTACCTTCGGGGTTTTGTATGCGATTACATTCAGGTAATTTGTTAACATCAGTTAATCCTTAAATGGCAGACATACTGACCTACTCAACTACTGTTTTTGGACACCACCACTTCCTACTGAAGGGGTTGGCCAATTAAGTACCGTATAGAATCCGATTACAAGTAGAGCGAGGCTCCTCAGGCATTAATCAACTAATTATAGCCCTGCGGCGTGGGAGTTTTCGTTTTTCATTGTTTTCAGGTTTGGATGCGAGAACTGAGCTCGCTTGTTAGACAAGAGTTGCCCTGATATGTTTTACTTGTACTTGTTCCTATATGTGCGAATTTTTGCTCTGAATATCAATTCATGTGTGGAAAGCTTTTAAGATTTAGTAATTATTTTTTATTGACTTTGGGAAAGTTAATTGGGAGTTTTCTGGGAAGTTTAACGTACCCCTTTGGGGAAATTCGTGTATGAGAATATTTTGTGTAATTAATGTGCTTCAACCTTAGAGACCTAAACTGATTGTTGCTGTTTTTACTACCCTCGTATTTTCTTAATTTCTACAGCAAAAGTTAAGATAGAAATTGAGTGGCGCTCAAGCCATTGGTAAGTGGTAACGAAGTGAAGAAGTTCATATTCCCAGAACAAACTACCGCTCTGGAGATTCTGGCGCTTTTATTTTATTTTCTAACCCTGCTCTAGTTGGCCGTTTATGTGGCGAGTTTGAGTCTAAGCAGCGCCAACTCTGTCTACTGTAAAATCTACCCACTATATATATCTACTTAATTTTTTTGGTAAAGTTTTCACTTTGGTTTTCTTTATTTTTCGGCTTGAGGTCATGCATCTTTAATGATGTTTCCCCTTTTTCTTTGATTTTGCGTGCGCACTCCTTGTACTGAAAATTAGATTCGATCAAGACTTGTAATAAAGAAGATTCACGCTGCCATATTTGCGGTGACATTTTCGTCATTACCTTTAATAAGGGATTTAATGGTATTTTTGTTGAAATTTTTTACTTTCTACGCTTCACTGACGCCATTGCGGATTTTTTTCTACCCTTTTGTGTATGTATTGTGACGTTGCGCAATATTTCTTTTAAGATTGACTAATTCTTTCATGCTTTTATTTTCTGGTTTAGCTCTTTTCTTCCTGTTTGTTGCCTGATTATTACTACCTACATCGACGTCTTTGATAAATACGCAGAATTTGGATGACATAGCATTTCTACATTGAACCGCCATTTTGAATTTTGAGTTAGAAGCTAGTCACGCGATACGTTACTCCTCATCTACATACCAATTAATACATCTGAAGATGTATTTGTTCCTGTTAACTGCAGGTATTGCAATTGCTTAGATGCTTCTGATTTTACGTCCACTACCCTTTACCTTTACAAAGAATACTTTCGACACTTTATCTACGTTACTTTTTGTCGTTACGAAGAATACATTCATGTGACTTTAATTACGTTTCAATCCTTCAAGCAAAAATTCTTAGCTACCTGCACATTATAAATCAGTTTTGGAAGTTAACGTTACGTCTGTGCTTTTATATATTGCCGATTTGTATATAGTGGATTCAGCGAAACAGTTAACATTTCTCATTAACGCTTAGGGGAGTGCCCAATAGTATTGCGAGAAATGGTATTATTGGATTTGCATCTTAACCTATAAGGGATAACCGCAGTTTTACGGTGCAAAGAAATTAAATATTAGAGGGTACCTTAATTAAGCGTTATCAACAAAATAAAATTGCGGAAGAAACCCCATTTTACATTCTATTTCCTCCTTGTCAAATTCTTTCAACTTTCCCAAATTCCATTTTCTACTATCAACTCAGGTATGCAGATGGGTAAGGGTAACTGATACAAAAAAGGCGTTCAATACAAAAAAGGTGGCCCATGAAAGATGCGACAGGTTCCCCTTCCCCTTCCGGGTGTGAAAGGCGGTCGAGCCTAATTGGCGGTTGATACGGAAAAGGCGGTCGATACAAAAAGGTCACCCATGGAAGATGCGACAAGTCTTCCTCCCCCTCTAGACGTTCTTCTTCTCTAAGGCGTTCAACTTTGGTGTATAACTCGAAGTAAACCTAAAACTGTATGTGTATTATGCCTATTATACGCCTTTTATTACATTAATCCTAAATCTAGGTAGGTACACGCAGTGGCGTAACTAGGTAGGTGCCAAAGGTGCCGCGGCACCGCGCTCTGAAGGCGGGAGGGCGCGCCGGAGCCGCTGAAGCACCGAGGGCACTAAGTCGGGATGGGCTGTACGCGGTGTACCGTATAGGCCAGTCATAAAAGCCAATAACGGCGGTTAAATTCTAATAATTTGCTAAAGACGAATACAGGCTGCACTGAAATATAATTAAAACTAAATTTACGGTCCTTTAGGATGAACGGACATCCAAGGGATTTCAGCGCATTTTTGTGTGGCAGATCAGTACTTTTATTAGCCAGTTTTGACTCCACAGTCAATAAGATCTTGTCGAGGGCTACCACATTCGCTTTGTCGGTACCCACTTCTGCCCCCCACAGACGCCGGATGTATACAAAGTTTGAATCAAAACACTACCACGCTATGTTAAGTGCCTCAATATGGATGTTGAAAAACAGCCTAAGAGTGTAGCTTCCAAATGTATATAATAAAAGTTGTTTCTTACACTTTCTTAATTTTTTATTTCAAAACGTCTGTTACTTTCTGAATAGCCCTTGTTACAAAGTTACAGCGGTAGGAAAAGGCTGCAAATTTAATTTAATAATAATAATACTTTATTTGTGATCTATACAATAGGCTGTATTAGTGTGACCAGCATTTGCACGCAATCATTTCTACGACTTGTGCCCCATGACATAGCTAAATTTGACGCGAGAATTGAAAACATTATAAATAAATGTATTTCTATTCTTCATTGCGTGAAAGCATCTTTTTAAAATGTAAGTATGCAAAATGTGTGTGTAAATTCGAAAGGGTGCAGTGCTTTTAAAATTTCGTGTAAAGTTTCTCTCAAAAATGGACAGTGTTTTATTAATTAGAGCTCAATGTTATCTAATAAGGCGCCAAAATATGGTAGGGTGCCTAAACCTGATCCGGCACCGCTTCGAAAAATACATAGTTACGCCACTGGGTACACGTTAAATCCAGCATATTTCAATTTAGTAGACGAAGAAAGTTCGTTACATAAATAATAACTATTTAAGTAAGACGAAGACAGGCAAATAAAAACTGGTGAGAGGGAATGTTCTTTCATGGTCGCCCTTAATTTCTATTGAATTTGCTGTACTTAGATTCGTATTATTTCTAAATAATAGAATGTAATGTCATTTATATAACTCTATCTAGATAGATGTCGGTGTTCATTGAGAGTTTGACTATCGGACCAATGCTAAGAATAATCAAGCACTAAACTTTAGGCACATTTAAATATGTAATGCCATATTTGAAGTAAAGAAACATTAAATTTTAGGGGGTACTGAGGTTCAACAGAACAACCCCCCATCGTTTTTCTAAAGTGCTAAAAGAACAATATACAGTGAGTTTT